ACTCGCCATAAAATTCACACGACCTTAAAACGTCACTTTTAAGACCTGTTGAATTTTCTCCCCGTAAAAATTTTACTTTTAATTTACAATGTAGGAACCTCGCGTTTTTCATATACAGAGGACATTTTCTTTTCTCTGGGGGTAGAATCTCTGACTGGCAAAACACAACGTAGACGAATCATGGCAAGTCCTAACCGTAAAGGTTTCAACAGGTGGAACTACATTATAGGATTCAGATATATGAAACATTTCAGATTGTTTGGGCGTCAATCCGAGGACAGTGCAAAGGATTCGGAAGGAGTTGGATGAGTCTAATGGTGATTACGAAACTGCTCGGTATTAAGAATATAGCGTATGTAAATATAAAAGGGTACATTGAGGTCAGCGCCAATCGGCGATAATCTGTTTTATGCTTAAACGCAATCGTTGTGTTTTGCCTCGACTATTTATATATGCTGGTTAGTGATGCATTATTGGAGCTTTCGGCGCGAAAGCCAAACTGTACAGCATGTCGTTTCCAAATTTCTAACGGGGTGAATTGCGTCATGGTACTCTTTTTCTCACAGACGGTGCCCAACTGACCCTACTATACTGTGTAGTCAACAAAAATAAAAAACAACGAACATGCGCGAAATGAAAAATATAAAATAGGGACATTAATACGAAAACACAGACAATTTCCAGAATTGGAAAAAGCCACACAAGATGATGTTCGCTGAAAATGTTTTCTTTTGAGATAATGAAAATTTTTATTATCAGGCCTTTGGCCGGGAAAAAGTGAAATATTTTTATTTCGTTCCAAAACGCCAAAAGGTCTGAGAAATTTCTTTCTTAGGTCATATCCAATTAGCGATAAACTGCTTGACAAATACCACGTGTTAAAAAGCCGAAGGTGTCATCGCAGTCGCTCATGATAAGGGCAATTTAAATTTTTGTTTTTTTAAGCAAGGTGTTTCTTCCCCCAGAACAAAGCCACGGATTGTCCACACCCGACTAAAGACGTCATTGGCTAAATAAGATCACATGACACACGAAGGAGGAGAAAGATGCCCGACCGGGACGTCATTGGCTAAATAAGATCACATGACACACGAAGGAGGAGGAAAGATACCCAACCAGGACCTCATTGGCCGAAAGCGGTCACATGACATACGAAGAAGCGGGAAGCGGGTATACGCCCTCAGAGACACAATAAGGAAGTTGATGAAAGTGAGTTACCGAAAATGGAAAATCCCTAACCAGAAATAAGAAGGGTGGATATGTATTTAGAATTATCGAAGAATCCCCGACGCCAAACAGACCCACCCCAGTTTTGACGGCGTCAATAAAAGCGAAACCCCAACCGACAGAAATCAGATCAGCCGCGAACGGCGAGCGGATTGGAGTTTGAGCCGCGGACGGCGGGCCGGATTCGTCCCCCCACTAGCGGGCAGGAGAGGCCAGCTCGTTTGGCCGAAGTGAAGCAGCTCGTTTGGCCTAAGTGGAGAAGTTGGAATCAGAGTCAGCCGAAGAGAGAATTCGCGCACTGACGGCGGAATGAATGACCAGTAATTCAGACTCTGAAGAGAAGTGAAGTTTGAGCAGCGGACGGCGAAAGATCAGCAGCGGACGGCAAGCAAGATGAGCGCCCAGTGTTGAAACCGCGTCAAGATATAAGATTCACTTCTGGACTCTTCTTCAACAGAACAAGTAGTTTGAAGAGCGACTTAGAATCAGACCACAGAAATAAGTTTTTTTCAACTTTCGTCCAAATACACACCGAAACACAAATTTCTTAGAGAGTAGACAGCTTGGTTAAGGTTGCCTAGTAAAGCGTCGTGCCACAATCCACAGAACAGGTCGGGAGTAGACATAGACCGGGACATAAAAGTTTTGTTACCTTTTTTTTTTGATACGTTGGACCTTGAGTTTTTATTTTATTTTATTTTCTTTTATACATAATTGGTGTTAAAAACTCAACTTGCATTACGTGTTTGATCTCGTCTGTCTAAGATCAAGTCACAACGTGGGTAGAACAGACCGGAGATCAGTGCAGTTACCCTGTTTTGGAAGCGGGTTGAGAACGAGGCTGGTATCAATCTAACCAAAGGGTTAGAACGTCACGTTTAACGAGGAGCGAACAGCTGACGCCGCGACAAAAGGCGTCACAACTTGCTGTCCGTGACCAGGATATCAGAGCCTGGGGAGCACGTGACGTCACAATTGGCGCCGCGAACGGGATCGATCGACGCTGCGACCGGGGACGACGTCACAAGATCAGCTGCCAATTTGACATTATCGAGCTGATTAGACTTACTGTCGAGACAGGAGTAAATGGTTTTGTCAACATAGCAAATTGCGCAATTCTCTGGCAGATGTAGGATGTTTTTCGTATTTCCTATATGCCCTTCGTTTTTGTTGTTTTCGGAATGTGTATTTGAATGTGTCTTCGGTTTCAATTTTTTACTTCCGCATTAATTTTGTCCACTTATCTAATGTTTCTAACACAATGTAGGATTTCGAAGGGATTTTATTAGTATCACTACTTTTTTATTTCTTGTAAATAGAACTTGCATACATTCTAAATACACATTGGAATTAGATATTTTAAAATTGTTATTTTTATCCCAAATCCCCACAGACAATAGGGACTAGTTAGGACTTCATAGAGACACTGTGGTATTATGATGATTGTAATAAAAATTGTAACAATGTGTTGCTTTGGTGTAATGAAGATTATAGGTTGTTTAGATCAGTCATTGTAAGTTAGAGATAGAACAGTTTCAAGATCAGCTTTTCTCATCTCCTCTTTTGGCCTTGTGCTACATTTCTTATTAATTGTACATAAAGCGACTAGTTAGAACTTCATAGAGACACTGTGGTATTATGGTGATCGTAGTAAGAATGGTGAGTAAAAATGCATTGTTTTGGTGTAAGGAATATTGTAGTTTGCTTGGGTTTAGTGATTGTGTCTACTCCCAGCTATAGGTAAATAGCAGAACAGACTGGGTTCTATAGCCTTGGTTGGCAACTGGTCTGGGAGAAGGAAACTCTGAATTCAAAATCGGCCTGGAGAGAGTTGGAGAGTTGTCACTTCTACTGCGGTGCCCCTACGATCCTGATTCTAATTTAAGAATAGAACAATTTGGATAAAAGCATTCTCCATCACCCGTTTTGGCCTTGTGGCACATGTCTTATATCTACATGAAAAAATATCACAGTAATTTGTTTTTTTTATTAGTTAAATACTGTTTGATATTTTTTATCATCACTGTTTGTCATCTTAGAACAAAACAAACCAACCAGTTATATTTACTCAGCTTCTCCAGGAAGGCGTGATGCGACACAACGTTGGTTTACGTGGGGAGCCCATAAGCCTACCTAGGCATATGGGCCAAGGATAAAATATATCTTGTCCCTGCGACTACTGTGGTAATATTTTTTCCAATGAAGTATTGCTGGTATTAAAACCTATTTTAATATTTTCATTGTTTTGACCACTTTAGGGGGATTAACTATTTGGCCATAGCTGGGACCCTGACAGGTGCTACCAACCCGGGTCAGGGTGGACCTGGGATTAACAGCAATTAAGAGGTAGTTCCATGGTCCTCAAAACCTCCTGAGCAAAGGCCTAGCTGCCGGATGTACTTTATCGCTATACACAAGACACAGATGTAGTTTATCGTCATACCCAGGACGCGAATGTAGTTTATCGTCTTACCCAGGACGTGGATGTAGTTTATCGTCATACCCAGGACGCGGATGTAGTTTATCGTCTTACCCAGAACACCGATGTAGTTTATCGTCATACTCAGGCCGCGGATGTATTTTATCGCCATACCCAGGACGTGGATGTAGTTTATCGCCATACCCAGGACGTGGATGTTGTTTATCATCATACCCAGGACGCGGATGTAGTTTCTCGCCATACAGTATTTTAGTTTTGAATTCTGAATTTCTGCTTTTTTTAAAACTTTTTTTTCAGTGCATCTTACTATTATAACTTGCTAACACATGCCGCCATTTTTTACGGCACGAGTACATTAGTAATTTATTTTGTCATTTCTATGATGTTCGGTTTAATGCGTAATACATTGACGTGTGATGTCGATAGCTGAATAAATAATAGTCTGTTTTTTTTTATGCATCGTCAATTCCATTTTATTGGTGAATATCTCTCCTTAAAAGTGTTTTCTTTTTCTCATAGCCTTTCACACTCAGTAAGTCGTTGCGTTTTCGTGGCTTTATGGCCTTGCTTAGGTCGAAATGATTAAAAATGTTATCTTATCACTCTAAGATTTCTACATAAACAACATTTGCAGTAAGGCATTTATTTTCTAAATAGGTTGTTTTTCTTATGCACATCGGTGTTCACCATAATGTCGTGGGTTTTACTCACATCATAGAAGCAGAAATTAACCTTATATTCACGGAGATAAAAGCAAACTTGAAAGGAAATAAAACGTACACAACTAACAAAGAAAACATAGTAAATTGTATATTAATTTCATACAATTTATTGATTTTTTGTGTGTATTGATGTACTTATTAGGTTAGAACAGTTTTATGGTACATGTGATAAAAGGGAGGATTTACTCCGTAGTATTACAAGCCATATCACAAAGAGAGGTTATACAACTTATTGGCTGCATCAAGGTTCGTGGTGAAAATATTGAATTTAACGTCTTTTGGCGGATGTCCATATTTCTGGGAAGAACAGTTTTTGTTGCATGCTGGGGATATTTTTATTATTTTTTAATTTTTATCTAATTTATTTTATACAACGTGCATATTATCAGCAATAAAAATTTTGCGGACATTAAGTAATCCATTGAGGTTGATATACCGTAAAAGAAAACAAACCCGACCAAAACTAAAATAGAGACCCAGTGAACCATTTAATTAATCCACTCCCTTTACAGTTTTAGACGATCCATGACATTTATTATTCTTGGGATTATATAAATCACTTTTTGCTCAATATCTTTTCGTGTTAAAATTTTATGTGTTTAATAAAACAGTGACTCTATCTATCTATCTATCTATCTATCTATCTATCTATCTATCTATCTATCTATCTACTCATTTTTCTCTTGAAAATATCCACTGTAGATCAAAGGGGTCATCTGGATGCATCAAAACATAAGTAATTACAATGAATAAAACCTCTCAATGCCAGTCTCATTCATTCATTCATTCTGTCTGTCTGTCTGTCTGTCTGTCTGTCTATCTATCTATCTATCTATCTATCTATCTATCTATCTATCTCAGTTTATTCATATGCATGTATGTATGTATGTACGTATGTATCTATTTCAGTTTATTCGTATCTATCTATTCAAACCAGATTTTAATGTATATCTATCTATCTATCTATCTATCTATCTATCTATCTATCTATCTATCTTAGCCTCTTCCTGTGTATGTATGTATGTAACTAAATATCTATCTATTTCTGAGTATATTCATATCTATCTATCTATCTATCTATCTATCTATCTATCTATCTATCTATCTATCTACTCATTTTTCTCTTGAAAATATCAGCAGTAGATCAAAGGGATCATCTGGATGCGTCAAAACATAAGAGTAATTACAATAAATAAAATCTCTCAATACCAGTCTCAGTCTATCTATCTATCTATCTATCTATCTGACTGTATTACTCACTCTCTCTCTCTCTCTCTCTCTCTCTCTATATATATATATATATATATATATATATATATATATATCTTATTCATTGTGTCTCTATCTTTTTCTCTCCTTCTATTGATCTTTCTCAATCTGGTCATTTCTTGTACATAATAAAAGGAAGTGATACAGCCATACAGTTCTTTCTATTTTACAGCGGAATCGTTTCAAACAATAAATTATCGGCTTAACTCCAAACACGTAGTCCCGAATTTGGCTCTTTGAATTTCATTTTGGAACACCTTAGCGGAAAGATATCAAGTTTAGGCCGATGATGTTGGAAGAAAAAAGTTATTGGTCAATTGTGATTCGCGCCAAAACAGGAAATTGTCTGGACAATAGGTACGACTGACCCGTGACTGATAACGTGTTTATTACAAATTATTGGTCACTTCTCTGTTTTGTTGGCTTTGTTACTGACTCACACTCTTACACACACACACACAGGAACACGCACATACACACACACACACACACACACACACACGTATGCACACACAAAAACAAACGCACAGACATATATACAGGGTGCGATGGATAAATTGTCGTCTAAATTACACAAAGTTGGAAATAACGCTGACATCTAATTTTAACAAATATATTTACCAAAATTACACAAAAATAACTTGAAATGCGAAAGAGTAACTTTATTCAATAAAATCGCCATTGGCTTCAACCACCGCCTTCAGACGGCATCGGAATCTCCAGCAACTCTTCTGGACGGTCTCCTTGTTTAAGTTGGTGAAGTTGCCTTCAGTTCATCTTTGGTGCTACAAAGAGTTTTATCAGTCTCTCGCTCAACTACGCCCCCCCCACAATAAACAAGGGGTTTGCAGTCTGGGGTTAGGTGGCCAGATGAAAGGGGGTGATGTGCTCGCATAAATTGTCTGGCAGACATGACTGCGTTCTCCTGCTTGTGTGGCATGGTGCAAAGTCCTGTTGCCGTTCTTCCGACAGCCATCCTCTTGAGCCAGGTCAGCACTACCTCCTCAAGGCACTTGATATGTCTCCGTCTTTAGTCCGAGACCCTCACCAACAAATTCGGGAGTTCTTTTCTTATCAGAACGATCAGTGAGCATTTTGAGCTGCCATACATTCGTAATCACCATTAGACTCATCCAACTCTTTCCGATTCTTCTGCACTGTCCTCAGATTGACACCCAAACACTCTGAAATGTTCATATTCGAGCTTCCGGTGGGAATGCCAAGCAGTACAGCATGCCGTTTCCAAATTTCTGGCGGAGTGAATTGCGTCATGGTGCTCTTTTTTGCACAGCCGGTGGCCAACTGATCCTGATATACAATAGACAAAATCAAAAACAAGCAATACGCATGCGTGAAAAATAAAAATATAATATGGCGACAATTCACCCATTGCACAGTATATATATTTATATTTATATATATTTCTAAAGAGATAGATTGTTCATTTATTAATCCGACAGATTTTAGCTCTTTTTTTTTCAATTCATCTTGCTTGCTGATAGTAATCATAAGGTTGGCAAACTGATAATCTCTTGTAACTCTTCTGGATGGTCTCATTGTTTAAGTTGGTGAATGCTGCCATAATCTTTGTCTTCAGTTCGTCTTTGGTATTACAAGGAGTTTTGTTGGTCTCTCACTCAACTGCACCTCACAAATAATAATCAAAGGGGTTGCAGTCTAGAGTGTTATCTGGCCAGAGGTAAGGGGTCATTTAGTCGTAGAATTTATTTGACTGCCATGACTATGTTCTCCTGCTTGTGTGGCAGACATAAGGTCTTTCAGTAGCGACCCTCTTGACGCAGGTCAATACTACTTCCTAAGGCACTTGATATAGGTTTTCGTGTTGGGTCTGAAGCCCTGTGGGAAGATGAATGGAGGCATAACGTCTCCAATACCAGTGATCACTCCAAATATCATGATGTTAACTGAACATACCATCCAACATTTTTCGAATCCTCTGCACTGTCTTCAGATTGAGACCCAAACACTCTGAAATATTCGGATTGTTCGTACTGGAACTTCCGGTGCGAATGCCAAGGAGTACAGAATGTCATTTCGAAATTTCTGGCGGCGTGAATTGCGTTATGATACTCCTTTTCTCATATAGGGTACCCAACTGATGCTACTATACCATCCAATCGACAAAATCCAAAAACAAGCAATGCGCATGCGTGAAATTAAAAATATAAAATGGTGATAATTTACCCATCGCAACTTGTGTATATAGACTACTCGGAGTTTTAAGGGAAAGGGGGGAATCGTTTTTCACAATTAAGTTAATAGGAATTTTTATTTTAAAGTATGGCAGTTGCTTTGTTTTATTTCATTTTTTTTTTTATTTCTTTATTATTACTTAAACGAAGCATGTAAACTAAAATGTATTGACAGTCTAGTACTTTAGTTTGGAAATTTTTACCTTAAATATTTCAGATGCTCTAAACAAGATGTTCCTAATTTTTTTCCTTGGGCTACATTTTTGGAATGAACATTTGCTAGCGCTTCAATAAATTCTGTGTGATAAAAAATATTTTTAAAAATAAAAAAAAATTGAGAAGGTTAAAGGGAGTTAACCACGGATTCGCAGTCAGAAAATTATCATTGATAACTCTCTCCTCCAATTTGCGGACACTAGTTAATATAATCTTAATACTCGATATAATGCAAAAATATCACAATAATAAAATCGGTAAATAATTACTTATAACTATTTTTACTGGGACTCATGCATGCAATTACAAGTAATCCATAAACATATTTTACATTTTGAAATCATATTTATATGAAGTTTTTGAAACTCCAATGCATTGTTTTGTTATGTACGGATTTTACAGTAGTATTTTATTATATCCACACTATTTTATGATATTAAAACAGAAACGTGTTAAAAATTGATACACAGTTACAATTATATCTCAACACGACAAATGTGTCTCAGCAGAATACTTTCTCTTATCGGACAATAATTACTTATAACTATTTATACTGGGACTCATGTATATAATTCCAAGTAATCCATAATAATATTTTAAGTTTTGAGATCATATTTATTTTTGGAATATGAATTTTTTGAAACTATTTCTAAATCTTTGATTGTCTTTCAATCATTCCGGCTCATTTGCTATCCTTCTCCGCTGCAATGTTTGAGAACCACTGTTTATTTTTTTTTTTTATCAAAACCCATCTTTATACATCTTCCTCTTCATCACTTACATTTAATGTCGAAATCAATTTTAAAGATTGTTTCTGAGTCTTTTGAAATACAAGTAAAATGAGGACTATCTTTTTCCTTGATCAAATTCTCTTAGGAATACAAGCATATAAAAAGCACATTTACAAATAGAAAACGGAGAAAGGGTTAAAGTGAGATAATTGCGAATTTGAAGACAGAACATTATCATTGATAACTCTCTCCTCCAATTTGCAGACCTTAGTATATTCTTAATACTGGATATAATGCAAAAATATACCAATGATACAATCAGTCAATAATTATTTATAACTATTTATACTGTGACTCATGCATGCAATTACAAGTAATCCATAAGAATATTTTACATTTTGAAATCATATTTATATTGGCATATGAATTTTTTCAAACTGTTTCTAAATCTTTGACTGTCTTTCAATCATTCCGCCTCACCGGCTATCCTCTTCCGCATCACCTATGAGGCACGCCACACTGTTTGGGAACAACTGGATTAAGGCCTCATTAATGGATTATTGGCTGCTAGTTCAGCCCTCATTTGTTAAACAGCCAGTAAATAGTTTAGTCTTTGATCTTCTTCTGCAGTGACTGCAATAATAATAATAATAATAATAATATTACTGTTAGGTCAGCAAGTGAAAGAGCTAAATATTTTTTCATGTTTTTTTCCTTCTTGGTCAATTTTTGTTGGAGTTCCATTTTTCTTTTTCAGGTAAAGGCCAAGGTCTGCAAGTGACCCCTCTTTCTGCTGGCCACATGATCGGCGGGACCATCTGGAAGATCGTCAAAGATGGTGACGAGGAGGAGATTGTCTATGCTGTAGATTACAACCACAAGAAGCACGCCATTTGAATGGTTGCGTCCTGGAGAACATCAGTCGGCCGTCACTTCTTATTACTGACTCACTCAACTCAAATTATGTCCAGTCGCGACCATAAATATATATATATATATATATATATATATATATATATATATATATATATATATTTGTGCCTATATAACGGATAACAATAAAATAAATTAATATATATATATATATATATATATATATATATATATATATAATATATATATAATTAAGTATATAATTGGTATGTACGGAATGAATTCCAATAACCAACAATTACTATTCTTAAAAGATTGCTCAATACAAAGTAGAGCAGATATAATTATTTTTTATAAAAAAAAAATTATAACATAAGTATGTTATAAAATCACTACAAAAATAGCCATTTTGTTTCAACACACTCTGCGTCTTATCAAGTGATGATGTTGAAAATAAAATAAATGGTTTTAAAAGTTTCAGATTAATTAACGATCCTACACTAGGGGGAAACATTGTTACAAAAGCTAGAATAACCAATCAAAAACGAAGTATAGAAAGATTCAAAAACTTGACAACGAAATCATGTTATAATAGCTATTCAGATCTTTAAATACGTGTAATATTAAAAATAATTTATACTAACCAATAATTATAAAATTATATGATAAAATTTAATATTAAAATTAAAAACTAGCAATTTTAAAATCCAAATTTAATCACTATTAAGTTTAAAAACTACAAAATTATTGAGAAAAGAAAAAATATATATATGTTTATTCAATTCATTTCTTCATTGAAATTACGTTCGACAAAACGCAACAATAT